GGCGCCCGTGAAGGCGAAGAAGGCGCCGGCGAAGAGGGGCGGGCTGCTGGTTAGTAAGAAGGCGCCTGTGGCGCAGAAGGCGTTGTCGCTGCTGGAGGACGAGGTGGAGTCGGATGGGGAGCTGGGCGGGGGTGGGGGTGGGTTTGCGGAGGAGGATAGTCTTGTGGAGGCTGCTGTGACGCCGGCGGCGGCGAAGGGGAGGGGGAAGACGGCGGCGGCGGCGGCGTCGACGGAGAAGAAGAAGGTTAATGGCAGCGCGAAGGGGAAGGGCAGGAAGGCGGCGGTCGTGTCAGAGCCGGAGCCAGAGGAGGAACAGCCCGAGGAGGAGGAGGCCGAGGCTGAGCCGACGCTGAAGACTAAGCCTGCCACTGCGCGCGCGAAGAAGGCCGCGGCCAAGGTCGTCCCGGAGCCGGAGTCGGAGGCGGACACGGAGGTCGAGGCGGAGGCTACGCCGGCGACGAAGCCGAAAGCGGCGAATAACCGCGGACGGAAGACGACTACGAAGGTTACGGCGCCAGAACCGGAGGAGGCGGAAGAGGACGATGTGGAGGAGGTGGAGGAGGTCCCGGGGCCGACGACGAAGCCGAAAGCTGTGGCGGGCAGGGGGAAGAAGGCGAAAGCCGTTGAGCCAGAAGCCGAGGAAGAAGAAGAGGTCGAGGACCCGACTCCGAAACGGAAAGTTGTGGCGCGCGGGAACAAGAAGGCTGCGAAGACTACAGAGCCAGAACCAGAGCCGGAGATTGAGGCAGAACCGGAGGCAGAACCGGAGATGGAGATGGACACAGAGCCTGCTGCGAAGCCGAAGAACGCACGCCCCAAAAAGACGGCCAAGGCCGTCCCGGAAGTCGAGGAAGAGGAGGAAGCCGCGCCCCGTCCCAAGAACGGCCGTGCAAAGAAGCAGACCGCGGCGAAGACTGCGTCGGAGCCCGAGGCAGAGACTGAGTCCGCTCAAGCGCCGGCGCCGAAACCCAGAGGTCGCCAGAAGAAGACTGCGAAGCCCGCAGCCCCCGAACCTGAAGCAGAGGCCGACGAGGAAGAGCCAGCAGCGCCTAAGCAGCCGGTCAAGGGCCGTGGAAAAGCCGCTGCCGCTGCAAAGGTCATTGACAACGAGGAGGAGGAGGAGGAGGAGGAGGCCGAGACAGAGTCTGACCCCCCCGCACCACCAGCTAAGGGCGCACGCGCGGGGAAGAAGGCGGTGAAGGCGACAGAGCGGGTCAAGAAGGTCGCGGCCCAGCCTGCAGTGGACTCTGAAGACTCCGAGCCAGCCACTACACGGGGCCGCCGCACCGGCGGTAAGAAGGTCATCGAGATCCCCGAGTCGCCGCTCGAGGCCACGCAGCAGCAGCCCACCGACACTGAAGACGCCGGCCCGACACGAAAGCGCAGCAAGACCGCTACCACCGCCACCGCCACCGCCGCCAAACCCAAAGCCAAACCCAAAGCCAAGGGTAAAGGTAAAGCGCCCACCAAGCAGCTCAGCCCCGAACTGCAGTCCTTCACGCCGCGCCCCAGCTCCAAGCGCGCCTCCGCAGCAGTAGTCGCCAAAAAGGGCAGCCAGCGCATCATCACGCAGCCGCCGCCCTCGCGCGCAACCTCTGTTGAAGCGGGGGCCGCGGGCGCAAGACGATCCACCCGCGCGACGCTGCCGCCGCTCGCATACTGGAGGGGCGAGAAGGTGGTGTATCAGCTCGACGGCCAGCGCGACAAGGACAAGATGGCGATGCCGACGATCGCGGAGGTGATCCGCGTCGAGAGCGACGAGGAGGAGGCGCGGCGAGGAGGCGCGGGGACGAAGCGGAAGCGGCCTGCCGCTGCCACGGGTGTGAAGAGGAAGCGGGTGAAGAGTGATGAGGGGGATAGCGACCCCGAGGAGGAGGACTGGGAGACGAGGGTTGTGGACGGCGAGATTGGCGTGGTGCGCGGGTATGTCAAGACTTTTCGTGAGCGTGCTCGTGCCAATGCCAATGCGGATGAGGAGGAGCTGGAGGAGCGGGAGCTGGCGTTTTCGCGGAATCGCATTGTGACGGTGGAGGTTGCGAATGGGGATTTTACGTTTGTGAAGACGTGTACGGAGGAGTTTTTTGGGACGGGGATGGTCGAGATACCGCCGGGGGGTGTCAAGAGGACGAAGAATTCGGGGAAGATGCATTTGGTGTTTTATGTCATTGAGGGCAAGGTCGCGGTGAGGGTGGGCGAGAATGCGTTTAGGGTGAGGAGGGGGGCGCAGTTTATGGTGCCGAGAGGTTGGTTTGCCCTTCTGTGCGATTTGATTTGTGGTTTACTTTTTACCTTTTTCTTGTTTCTTTTTTGGTGATGGAGCTGACATGTGAGGTGCGTGATAGGGAACCTATACTCCATCGAGAACCCCTACGACTTCAAAGCAAAGATGTTCTTCGCCCAGGGCTGCGAGAAGGTCGTCAGTGGCGGCAGCAGCGACGACGATGAAGAGGAAGCCGAAGGCGAAGAAGGGGGAGAAGACGACGACGGGGATGCAGATATGGCCGAGGATTGATTTAGACTTGAGAGGGAAAAACGGAGCTAACCCCTCCCCAGCGCCCTCTATCCTGTCTATTTTTTTTCCCCTGGCGTCCTGCTTGTTCTGTTTCCGTTTTGTGTCGTGTATTTCTTGTACCTTCTTACAGCTTCCACCGCGATTCTGGATATGCGCTTTACCTTCTTCTTCTCTTGTGTTTGGATTCTATTGTCTTTTTCTTGAAGTGTTGTTTGTTGTCTTGAAGTGGTATTGTCCTCCTCCGGCTGCTGCTGCAGCGTTGGGATGGTCGGTGTATGATTACGAATTTTAGCCGCAGTTAGTTAGTTGGGTACTATATCCTCTCTTCTATCTTCTCTATCTTTCTTTCTGTGTTCTTCTCTTTTTTTTCTTTTCTTTTTTTCTTTTCTATTGTTTTCTCTTCTTTTTCCTCTTCCTTTCCTTCTTTTATTGCTTCTTGGTTGGGCTGTGTATGTTGTATACCCGCAGGGAGGGGGCGGAAGCGGGGAGCGGGAGGGAGAGCGGGGAAGAGGGCAAGGGGGGGGGGGGAAAGGTATGGTAGCTTATTTGTACCGTTATAATACTGTCTGTAGCTGTAGCTGCACTGTACTCTATTGCGGGGGTTAAAATAATTAGTGTGGTTTGGTTTGTGGTATTTGTGTCTTCCCTTTCGAAGATATGGGTGGTATGTGGTGTGAGTAGGCAAGTGCGAGTGGGAGTGTGAGTAGTGGTGGATAAGAAGATGGGTGAGTAGTGGTGTGGGTGAATAGTAGTAAGTGGGGGGCATACCGAGTGACACCCTATGGCGCGACAACCTCGCAGCGAGTGATGGCGTGTGAGGATCGAGTGATGGTGTGTGATGATTGTTTCACGTGACTGTCTGGTTTGGCTTTTGGGCGCGGGGGGGGTGGATGGGATAGTAGTGGGAAGTAGGGGGTAGGGGCTGTATTGAATGGTTCCTTTGGATGATGTAGAGATAGATATCACGTACTGTGGCGTGGGTAGGTAGGTAGTAAGCTTGAGGAGAAGAAGCTGTAGACCGATCCTTAACAGCTAGCTATAGTTACAAGTACTCTACTCAACAGCACCTGTACTAAGACAAGTATATACCAGAACCTCAACCCTATAGCTATAGCTATCCCTTAAGCTGTCGCGAAAATGCTGACCCACCAAAAAAAAAAAGCAAATTTGGCGTGGCTTTACTAACAGATCCAGATCCCGTTATCTCTCTCTTATCAAATAATAGATCTCTCACACAAATCTAATTCCTCTGTTATTGGGGGGGGGGGGGGGGGGTCAGCATCGACAGCTTAAGGGATAGTGGTGGCGAAGCTAGGGGTGTAAGGGACAGCGTGGTATCCGCGACAGGCCGGGCCAGTACAGTCCCAATGAATAGGTGACTACACAGCTACATGTAGATGACTACACAGCTACATGTAGTGATTCATGGTGGCAACTCGCATCGTTGGTCCTGGGCTCAGACGCCACACCACGCTGTCAATGTATATCTGGATGGGTCAAACACGTACAGGTCAGCTGTCCGGACCTGTCCGATCCGTGACTAACTAGAACTGTAGCTATGTAAGTTAGGCTCTTTATTTTCCAACGAGTCGGTCACAAAAGGCCCAGCTGTGTCATAGCTCTTAAGTAACACTACCTTACCGTCGGAATGCATAAAATAAGGCTTATCTGGTAGCCTTAACCAGAACATAGGCTCCCAATAGCCTTCTCAGTGTGGCGAGTAAGCTTTTTGTGAGCCTACGATCTAGATAAGGATTCGGTAAGAGTTGTATGAGGCTTATAATTTTATGCGTTTCAAGGCATAGAAGGTAGTCACTGGCTACTTAATAAGCTGATTGCTACTCTGGGACGACTCGTCTCGGATGACGAAGCTACGTGGTAGAAGCCCAGAGCTGAAGCTTGCTGGGCCGATGGCTGGAAAACGCAGACCGCCCCCTGTGTGTCCGTATTCATATGTTACGCCCTCTTTCCTAGTCTAAGCGTCGGTGTTGGGCGAGTATGTGCTGTGTGCTATGGTTGCCTGAAAACCGTGATCCTCTTTGAACTTCAGTATGAAGAGCGGGATCCCCCATGCCTTCCCCGTAAATGGCGTAAGTGGTGAAAAGTGCGAGTGAGAAAAAGCAAGCGAGATTACTACATACTTCCCTACCCCACTACCTTGAAGGGCTCGTCCCAGTAGCATGTCTAGCTGGATCTCTAACGTATTGTAGGTTGTAAGTACATTATACCTCATGCTACCCACTAAGCTATGTATCCACCAAAAAAAAAAAAAAAAAAAAAAAAAACAGAGCAGCGAAAAGGAGAGGCATCCCGCTCTGCTCCTTTACCCAGTCACACAGTGTATGTTTTCCCACCAAGTCTGGGAGGTTCGAACTATCGAACTCGGCCCCTCTGGGCGACACTTCAGCTGATTAGGCCATAGGAAGCGGTAGATGGTAGGTAGCTTTCTAATGCCCTTAAAAGCCTCTGGAATATTGTGCCCAGGTTTATGAGTGTTCCTCGGCAGCCCCGGAGAATAGGAAACAGGGTGAATGTACATGTATTTCCTCGACTGGCCGTCTACGGAACCAGGAACATTAGAGGCCGGAGTCGAAATAGAGACAAATATGTCTACTTCGACGACAGCAAGTATTTCTTTTTGAAGGTACAAGTCTCGCTCGAACACACGAAGCCCTATAATATCCTTACAACCATGCATGAAGCAGGATCTTGCACTTTCACTTTCTCATTCACTTTCCACCACCACCACCTAAACCCAATACTCTCCCTCCCATTCACTCGGTGCACAGCACCTCATCGGGTATCGCGTTCCCACATCGCACACCATCACCACCCCGTATCCGTATTCAAACCATTATCATATGCAAGAAATTTATTTTGCTCTCTCTCCTCTCCCCCCCGGCCAAACTAAAAAAAAAAAAGAGAGGATTATCGAAGAAGAAAGAAAATCGGGGGGGGAAGACAAGAACCATCGATATTGTACACCTACTACACCCATCATCTAAAAACACGCATGAAAACACAGAAAAAAGGTTCAAAAAGAAGAATAGAATAGCTACAACTAGCCAGGGGGGAAGGAAAAAAAAGTTATAGACACAAAAAGAACAGTTTTTTTTGAACCGCATGTCCCAAAAGAAAAAAAAACAATAGCTGAGAGAAAATAGAAAGGAGAAAACAGAAAGGCGCCGTGGAGAAACCCAAAAGAAAGGTAACGAAACATAACGCAACGAGAAAGGAGGAAGTGAAGGTTCAAACACAACACAAGAGAAAAAGAAGAAGGGTGTGGTAAAGTATCCCAACGCGTATTCAATGACAGAGAAAGAAACGACAAAAAGAACGAAGGGGCAGGCATAAAAGCTCCAGTTATAGCACTGCCTACAACCCAATAAACAACCAAACAGACTAACAAAAAAAGCACCATGGGTACTCCCCGCTCCACACAAGCTACTATGTGAGCCGGGTAAAAAGACGAGGGAGGACGATATGTGGTGAGGTGAGTAATAAACAATAAAGACTAGGAGGCTACAATAGCGGGGGTTGGGGGGTGGTAAGTAGTTAAGTAGGTAGTATAAACAGGCCCATATCATCAGAGAAGAGTAAAAACAGAAAGAAAAGACGTAAATACCACTTTTTTGGCCCCAGCCATCATTCTCACGGGAATGATGAGGGAGGAAGGAAACCTCGTGCTGTGCACGCACAAAGAAGACATAAAAAACAAGCCAAAAAAAAAGAAAAAGATAAAGAAAAGCATCATCGTAACACTACGTAGCTGCTGGTCTTTATTCCCAATCCCCAATCCCCAATCCCCAATCCCCAATCCCCAATCCTCATCTCCCTTCCCTCAGATCCATTCGCTGAAGATAAGATGGAGATAAGATAAGATAACAGCCGGAGAAAACCAGAAAAAAGAAAAAAGAAGATAGAGAGGAACAAATATGGCGGAGGAAATTATTGAATACCTACTACTTAAAGCTGTAAGATGACAAATCAGGTCAGGAACATATATAAAATAAAATAAAAGGAGATGAGAAAAAAGAAAAAGAAATTTATAACACAAAAAACTCCCTTGCCCTTGTCAAAAAACACAAAAACAAAATGAAAAAAGGAAAAGAAAAAGGCAAAAGGAAAACGAACCAAGAAAAGAAAAGAACTAAAAAAAAGAAATTGATGACCCCCTAAATAATCCCCTTCCCGTAAAGAAAAAAAAAAAAGGCCAGGCCCAACACCGTTTTTAGGTATAAAAAAAATAGACAGAAAAATTCATTAGTAGTTAATGCGCCCCCTTTCCCACATTAGAAGCTAGGTTAGTCGATCAGTCAGTGTATTCGAGTGATAGTAAGAGGTCCATTTTCCAGAAGCCCCACACATAAGCCATATATCCTTTGTCTCCTAACTTCATTGTAAATCATCCCATTTTATTTTGACCCACGCCATCCAGCCCCCTCCCCCTCATCAGTCGGTGGGTGCTCATAAAAAGACACCCAGCTTACTTTTGAAATCCTTTATCCCCTCCGCTGCTGCCCACTCCTGCAGAAACAGAAATCCAAAGTTGAGCGCCTCAATCATACACGTATTCGGATGCAGCGGCAGCTGAAACGAGTGCTTGTACTTTCCCACCTTCAGTGTCGACGCTGTGGGATCAACAAACTTGCGCGACCGCTCAGCCCAGGTGTGGGGGAACTGGCTTTGGATGACGTCGAGCGTGAGGTAGCGCATGCCGTCGAGCCAGCAGTCCTTGAGTTCACGGGCCTCGCGGACAATGGTGCTTCGGTGCTTGAGGTAGGTTGTGCGGTCGATGCTGACACCGTTTGTGTTGGTGCCCGAGTCGGGAGTGGGGGCTTTGGAGGCGGAGTCCGGGAGTGGTACCTTTTCGAATGCAGCAATCTCCATATCAAACAGGTGCTGTCGGATAATAGCTTCGAGCTGTTTGCACAGACCATGGAGTGGGGGGTAAGTATAACATTTCTCGGCAACAAACTTTGATAAAGGAACAATTGAACGCCAGGTGTCTATCGGGGGAGATCGCTGTTCGAGCGCCTTGGCCTCCTCTTCACACATGAAAGAAAGGATGTAACATAGGACGGAATCAACCGCTACTACTGTTGCGTATCGGGTCTTTTCCTTATCAATTTCAGTTTGGTGTTTGAATGTTCTGTCAGCTTCATATTTCGAAAGCTTCCCCCACTCCGCATACCTGCAAGAAAACATCAAAAACATTAACACCAAATGCACGCAAAAAATAGGGTAACGAATGGAAGCATGTCTTGGAATTTTTTTTATATACCTCTGATACTCTGCCCTAAAATTCTCCACCCTGGACTGCACAGAGTGATCCAACGGCTTTCTCGGGGCACCACCATTCCTTTCATCCTTGCTCGGTGTTTGCGCATGTCCCTCCGACGCCGTCCTTTTCAGAGCCGTCGTGGTGGGATGGCCATTGACCTTTTTCGGAGGGGTGGTTGTTATGTCCTTTTCCTTCGGCACCTTCAAAGCGGGAGACTTGAAAGCGGGAGATCTCCCAGACGCAACAGCCTGTCGCTTCGCGGCTGGCGCCGGCAGCAGATGATCATCTTGGCGTTGTCGCTTAGGGCTAGGTTTGAGCAGCAGCAGGATCGCGACATCCTTCGCGCGTCTCTTTGAGAATTTCAGCCGGACAATCAGCGACTTCTTTTCCGGGCCCGCAGCAGCAGACACCGAAGCCGGCGGGAATTTTGAAGATGTTTTCGAGCTTCTCGGCAATGGCGACGACTGTTTGGGGCTCGCCGGTCGCTTCTGCACTGTTTTCGACGCAACCATTTTGGGGGTTGTGTTGCCGCCAAGATTGGTCCTGATGGTCTTGTTGCTGGGCGCGGCCGATTTTGTGGGTGAGGGATTGTTGCGTGGGGAGCGCGACGATGGCGTGTTCGTGCTGGATCCCGGCAGTTTCTTCCCTGGCGCGAGAGTCTTTCGACCAGGACGCTCAGTATCGGATGGTGCGCGTTGCCGTTTGCGCGAGCTCAAAGCAATTGAGCTGTCGTATCCGTCCTCCCTCGTGCCACCGCGTGACCTATTGTTTTCTTCCAGCAGCGCGAGAGCATCCTCAATAGCTTGGGGGAGCGTAGGGCTGAGCAATGGGGGCAGCGGTGGGAGTGATGGAGTAGCTGGAGCTGGCTGGGGGGGCGGTCGCTGAGGACTGGGGGTCCTGTGTCGTTTCCTGGGAGGCGGCTGATCGTCCCGCGACGGGCTCCGCCGTGGAGGGCTTCGCCTGGAAGGGCTTCTCCGTCGCGAAGGGCTTCGTCGTGGAGGGCTTCGTCGCGAAATTGGGCTCCGTCGAGCTTCTCTGGAGTTCCGGATTGTCTCCTGGGAGTCCACTGAGCCTTCCTTGGACCTACACGAACCCCGTCAGCAATTGTGAAGTTTTCCCCATACCCTCGTAGTACAGGGGTGTTGTAAAATGCATGTAAATAAGTAAATAAAACCGACTTTTTGTCCCCTGTCCTCATAGGGGAATTCTTGGATGTAGCACCAAGAGCCGCAGCCGCAACGCCAGCAGGAGGATGCGAAGTAGGAGGGGGTGGAGGAGGAGGGGGAAGAGAAGGATTCGTCTTCGCGGGCGTCTTTCCAGCCAGCTTCCTATCCTTGTACTGCCCCAAGCTAAACTTCTTCTTCTCCGGCAACTTGTTCGTCCCATTCACTCTCGCCGTCCCCGTCCCCGTCCCAGCACCACCGCTCCCACCCGCATCGCGCTCCTCCCTGTCCCTGTCCCTGTCCTCCCGCCCATCTCTGCCCCTGCTGTTCCCGTTCGTCAAGACCTTCGCCGGAGTTTCCAGCGGCTCAGGGCTATCCGGGAGCCACTTCCCCTCGTACTCAGGCCGGGGCAGCATCGTCGTGTACTCGTAGCACCAGCACTTCTCGGTTTCGCTGTGCCCGCAGTGTCGCTGGCGCGGGCGGTTGACCTTGTCCATGATCAGCGGCCTCTGTGGTAGATTTAGCTTCCGAAGACGCGCGCCAATGTCCTCGCCGTCGTCCGACGAGGTAGACGCGACGGCGGTGTGAGCCATTCCGGTGGTGGTGGTGTTGAGTGAGTGTGTGTGTGTAGATCTGTTTCCTCCCCTCTGGCTTCTGCCCTCAAACTACCTGTAGGCACTGGATTCTATTTTTATTTTATTTTTCCTGTGCGTAGCAGTGTGGTCGGAGTACTGTGAGTGGACGGGGGTGGGGAGGAGGAGAGGGGGGGGGATGGATGGATGGATGGATGAATGAATGGGATGATTAATTGTTTTTTCTTTTTTTCCCTTTTTTTTCCCTTTGTTTCCTTCCTTTTTTATTTCCCCCTTCTCCGGCTCCTGTAGCCTTCGTTACTCTGACGAGCCTTCCTTTTTTTCGCACCCTTCCCAGCAATTTTCCTGCTGCAGGGCGTGTGCGTCGTGCGTGGGGGAAGGCTAGGCAGGTTGAGGGGAGGTGGTGGTACCTAACCGTGACGAAAGGAAAGGGAGTGAGCGGAATTGACAGGCGTTGTGGTGTTGTGGAAGGGAGAGGTGGTGAGGTAAAGGTGAGGTAGGGGAAGGTGAGGTAAGGTTGAGGCGAGGCGTGTGTGTGGTTGTTGAAGGTTTGTCTATAGCACAGCAGTAGTAGTGGGCTGTAAGGTTATTAGGTCAGTCGGTAGTTGTGGCTTGGATGGACAAGATTATTTCTCCGTGAGGCTTAAACGCGGGCAGCGGGATGATGGGATGGAGGGGGGGTGGGTTGGTTGGTGGAAGGAATGACGAGGGGGAGTGGTGAGAGAGTGTGGTGCGTGGGTTAGGGGTGCAAAAAATCAAGTAAGGAATAAGGAAGTGATGGATGGATGGATGGGCTACTGTAGGGGCAAGGTATTGATTGTACCTATGCAAGGTCAGAGTGTAGAACTGACCTGTGTGTGGATGTGGATGTGGGTTTTGGGGGGTGGTTGTGATTGTGGTGGTATGGTAGGATGTGGGATGGTAGGTGATGGTAGTAGAAGCAGCAGCACTGGCAGGCAGGTCTGTCTATCTGCCCAGTAGTGGGTGATGGACGGTTGTAGCAGTGAGTGGTGCTGCTGCTGCTGCTGCTGCTGCTGGTGGTGGAAATAGAAAGTGTAGGTAACGATAGGTAAAAGTAACAACTTGCAAAGCAACCAGCAACGGGCGTCCGTCGTCGGGTACCCTAGCACTGGTAGACCCGCACCCCAGACCCTGATCCAGTGATCCAGATCCGAAGCAACACAAACAGTAGATTAGAGCACCTGGTTACAAAGCCAACCCAGTATTAGCGGTAACAGTAGCTCAATAACTCACTCACGCATGCGCACTCCAGATCTCTATCTATCTATCTCTAGTATAACCAACAACAACAATACTCGAGAACGTATGTAGTAGGGAAAAGTAAAAGGCAGGGAAACTAGTCATGCACAAAATACCTAGAAAACCAAGAACCATTCCCCCCGAGACAGACGAGAGCAAGTGTGTGGTCAAAGGGAAAGACAGGAAAAGGGCGTATGTAGCCTAGGTCACTAGACCGAATCTCAGAGCCGCCCACGTTTCTGGGAGCGGGGATGGCGCAGCCCTGGGTTGGTAGGGTGGGAGGGATGATGGATGGGATGTGTGTGTGTGAGTGTGTGTGTGTGTGAGCCTAGCGTTGCAGCAGAAGCAGAAGCAGCGTGCCTCTGTTCTCGCGTTGATCGACCTCGGCTGGTAAGTATCGAATACTATTATTATTACAGTACTCGAGAAGTTGAAGGAATGGGATAGAAAGCTTGCTGCTTCGCGAAGAGAAATTCTCTAAAACAAAGCAAGAAAAGAGCTTACAACCGCTGCTGATCCATCACCCACGCACAGCGCAAACAATGAATAAGAAACCTGTGTGAAAGCAAACAAAGCAGCGGCAGCAGGAAACGAAAGAAGTGTGTGTGCGAGTGAACGAGGCCTACATCCAGAGCTAAAGAGAAAAGAAGGTTGCCTCGGGAGGGAACAACATCCCGGTGTACACAGCAGCTATTTAGATCATAATTCGTGGTGAGCGAAAAGATCAATAGATACAAATATATCTCTTTTCGCCCCCCTTATATCGATGAAATAAGAGACTAATGGCATTACTTACTGCAACTGAGATTTGCATGTATCGTTATATCACCACTTAACGCGCGACCTCTCCTACTACGCGCCAGATGAACGCAGCAGCGAAACGTTGCTCCCTCTCTTTCGACGAGGCCCAACGGTGATCCTCGTCTCGCCTTATCCCTTTCCGTAATATTGGATCTACTTCTTGATCCCTGGTCCCCCTCCCTTCAAATCCGTTTCCCGCTGTGGTAGGTATGGTGGGTATCAAATCATGTAGGGTTTGTAGGGTATGTAACGGCTTCTAGCTGGCCCAGCCAAATTAAAAACCGAAAAAAAAGCCGTTGGAACTAACCAATTCTCTAGCTCTGTCTGTCCAACTCGCACATCCATATCAGTCCCAATCTGTCCACCACCCATAACGTACCACACACCTCCAGGCAGCCCCAAAGTTTAAACAAACAACCAGCGGTGTGCCTGTCAGCTCTGTATATCATCTACATCTACCTACTTTTCTCTTCTCTGCTCTTCTCTTCTCTGCCCAGCTTAGCAGCTATAATCTATCTCTAACAACACTCAATCCCCGCCTAAGCCTAAGGAATCGAAGGGGAAACCCTGTCGTAGGATTCGAATCTCCCCCAGCCCGGCTTCCAGAAGTCAGCCCCGTCTATCCAACTACGACAACCCGAGCCGATCAGCGAGCGCAGCGCAGCGTGTGTGTGTGCGACATCCACCTCGAGCCACCCACTCATCGTCCACCGCACATTCTCATCATGCATGATCGATCACCAGCACAAAGAAAGAAACACGAGCAAAAAAAAAGTGAAAGTGCACATCTCTCCTTAATTCACTCTTTTCCATAACACTTTTCTTACTCCCTCTTCACGCAATGATAAAAATCTCTTCTTTCCCGATAACCATCACTCACCCCGCGAAACGGAACTCCCCCGGCGCCGCGAGGGAAAAAAATGCTCTACTCTAGCTAGTTACATAGCTAGTAGCCAGTCCCCGATTGCGAGGCACATCCAGCCAACCTGTTCCGACATGTATGTAGAGTACATACCCGTACATACGTGCCTACGCGCGTGAACGTGCTCCCTGCATTTACAGGGAAAAAGCGTGAGTGAGTGAACGTCCACTGTCCACCGCCCACCGACGTTCGCCGGCCGGCTCACTTGCAATTGACCCTACTCGCACATACATACATAAATAACCATACTGTATGTATGTCACTCCTGAGGGAAACCATTTGCCGGATAAAAGTAATTCTTCATATACCCTCCCCGCTCATCCCTGTGGATAAAAATAATGTACTACTGCAGCCTGCCTGGTTAGCTACAGACCTCCTACCTACCATGGGAGAAAACCGTGGAAACCCTAACCCTGTCCGGAAAGTAGCCGGTGTTGCAATCCTCTGTAGATACAGTTCTTGTTTTTTATGAGGGAATATATGTGGTGGTTTTCCTGAGCAAGTAGGTAGACTTGTTCTTCGGTAATGCGGTGTACACACATATATATGTGGGATAGAATCGAATGTTTGCTGTGAATGCAAGTGTGATTCCCTTATTGCATCGCTTTTCTGCTTGTATGCGCGACGTTCTTGGATTTAGGTTTCGTACCATGCTGCCCCTCCTCCCCCACTGTTACTCTAACCTCCCCGATGTCAGCATGTTGTGCTTCAGCTACGACATTCGTGGTACAGGCCAAACTAGACCAGGTTAGACCACGTGATAGGATCACCTCATGATACATCACTCGCGCGGGATGAGAGAGAAAATCAAACCACCCCACCTCGAGTGATCGCGGGTGCTGCCGCAAAGTCCCTCCCACTCCCCACATCCTCATTTTCATCCTTCTCCTAGATCTCAGCGGGCTTTATATGTAGACGTTATATCGATCACAAGGCACGCCGCGCCGCCGTTGCAATTGTGGAGGGAGACCCCCCGATTGATTTGCCGTGCCTACACCTATTGAGTGTATGTATGTATATAGCTCAGTAGGTTCGCCGGTCGGTCTGCTGCGTGCAGAAAGATTGGGGGTGCTGTCAGGTGTTGAGTTTTTTTTCTTTTTCGTTTTTCGTTTTTCTTTTTTTTTTTTTTCCCTGTGGAGGGAAAAAGAAATATCGCCTTGTTGCAACAGTGGGTGTTACTCAGGTAGGGGAGTTCCCGGGGATGCGGTCAACTCAAATACTATATACCGACAAGCTATATAGCTATTTCCCGAGTCGTTGATGTCGCTTCTCAACGGGCATAGCGGAGCAGGCCGTTGGTACTCTAGCAGCGGCCGGTACCGGTGAATGCTGTAGCTGAGATATATTATTGTAAAAAATATACTCACCTCCGCTCTTTGTAATAATCGAGTACGTACCTGACGTGACCTATGGGGGAGCTCTAAGACCTCCGCGAAAAGGAAGGGAAGGGAAGATCGTGTAACTGCAACTGAACCATCGCCAATATCCAAGACTGCGGGGAAAATAACGAAAAAATGCGGGGAGATGCAAAATCTGACGGTGGACATGGCGTGTCACTCGACCAGCTCGGCAATCGCACATCCATCTGTGAGCGGGTAATATATCCGTGTGGCCCAATTGTAGCCAGCGCCTTATCCATGTGTGGGGCCCGGGGGCGTTATGGTGGGGGAGATGTCGGTTACAAGTGTGTGTGTGTGTGTGTGCGTTTATCGCGGCTTTGTTGGCCATGGGCCTCGGTGTCTGTTGTCGTCAACCTGTCTCTGGTTTATGGTGTGGTTTTTCGTATGTGCTTTCATTATCCCATATCTGTTGTCAAAGATCCTCCCGTCTCGCGGCTGGAAATGCATCATACCTTAGTTGTCCATGTCGTAGATCAATGTCAACGCCCAAGAAGCACCCGCTTTAGCCATTCCCGGAACACACCATCTCTGGCCTCGGTCTCAGTGTCTAAGACAGCTTTTCAGAACGCCTTTAGCTACATGTATAGATCTCAATCTTACTGCTAGCTGGCTGGGAA